TGTGACTGCTTTCACCACTTCATCACCGCCGGCATCTACACCGTCAGGTACATCTTCGTGGGTTCTGGACTCTGGAGCTTCCTTTCATATATCCTCTGATTCTTCAGCTTTGTCTTCTCTTCGCCCTCTTGATTTTCCTATTAATGTTTTTATTGCCGATGGCACATCTCTTCCTGTTGCTAGTCATGGTATTCTTTCCACTCCATCCTTTTCTGTTCCTAATGTTTCACATGTTCCTCGCCTTACCATGAAATCTTTTTTCCACTGCCCAACTTACTGATTCTGGTTGTCATGTCATTCTTGATACCGACTCTTGCTCCATTCAGGATCGTCGCACCAAGGTTTTGGTTGGTGCTGGCCCCCGGCGCCGTGAGTTAGAGGGCCTTTGGGAGGTTGACTGGCTTTGTGTTCCTTCCGCTGCCACCACTTCTGCCAGCTCTCATGCTCTTGCTGCCTATTCGTTTGCATCCTTCCAGCAGTGGCATCATCGCCTTGGTCACATATGTGGCTCTCGCTTGTCATCATTAGTGCGTCAGGGCCTCTTAGGGTCTGTATCTGGAGATGTTTCTTTACATTGTAATGGTTGTAGACTTGGCAAACAGACCCAGTTACCTTATCCTACCAGTCAGTCGGTATCTCAACGTCCTTTTGACTTAGTTCATTCTAATGTTTGGGGTCCTGCTCCCTTTGATTCGAAAGGTGGTCATCGCTACTATGTTTTGTTTATTGATGATTTCTCTCGCTACACTTGGCTCTACTTCATGAAATCTCGTAGCGAGGTTCTCTCTATATACAAACGATTTGCTGCCATGGTTCACACCCAGTTTTCCACGTCTATTCATACTTTTCGTGCTGACTCTGTTGGAGAGTATATCTCCCAGCTATTGCATGGTTTTCTCGCGGAACAAGGTACTCTTGCCCAGTTCTCATGTTCTGGTGCTCATGCTCAGAATGGCGTTGCAGAACGTAAGCATCGTCATCTGCTTGAGACGGCTTGTGCGCTAATGATTGTCGCTTCCCTTCCACCCCACTTTTGGGCCGAGGTTGTTTCTGCATCCACCTATCTCATCATCATTCAGCCATCGACTGCTCTGCAGGGTGGTATTCCTATAGAGTGTCTCACTGGTCGTTCTCCTGACTACTCAGCTCTTCGTATGTTTGGATGTGTGTGCTATGTCCTTCTTGCCCCGAGAGAACGCACCAAACTGACTGCTCAGTCGGTTGAGTGTGTTTTTGTTGGCTACAGTGTTGAGCACAAGGGCTATCGCTGTTGGGATCCTGTTGGTCGTCGCTTGCGCATCTCGCATGATGTGACTTTTGACGAGTCTCGTTCTTACTACCCACGTCCTTCTTCCTCGAGCTTCTCTATGGACGATATTTCTTTTCTTCTCCTTCCCGATACACCCTGCTATGTGCCTCATGTTTCACCCCTTCCTCCGGCACCTCTCTTTCATTCTCATTCACCACCGACACCCTCTTCCCCATCCTCCTCCACCTCTCATCATCTCCAGTCCGTCACCCTTTCTCACTGTTTCCTCTTCACTATACTCGCCGCCTTCGTATTGAGGATGCTTCCCCTGATGCGTCTTCCACCTCTGGTGCGCCTCCCTTCACGCCTCCCCCGGTTCATAACCTCCGTGCTCGGCCTCGCCCCCTGCCTGATCGCTATTCTCCTGATCGGTACGGCCTCTCTGTTATTGCTGAGCCCACTTCCGATCGGACTGCCATGACTCAGCCTGAATGGCAGCTTGCGATGGCCGAAGAGCTTGCTGCCCTTGAGCGCTCTGGCACATGGGATCTGGTTTCCCTTCCTTCCAGTGTTCGTCCCATCACCTGCAAGTGGGTCTACAAGATTAAGACTCGCTCCGATGGTTCTCTTGAGCGCTACAAAGCTCGACATGTGGCCAGTGGCTTTCAGCAGGAGCAGGGACGCAATTATGATGAGACATTTGCTCCTGTGGCCCACATGACCATTGTCCGCACTCTCCTTGTTGTGGCTTCTGTTCGTCATTAGTCTATCTCTCAACTTGATGTCCAGAACGCCTTTCTCAATGGTGAGTTGCGTGTGGAGGTTTATATGCAGCGACCACCGGGGTACTATGCTCCTGATGGTATGGTCTGTAGACTTCGCCGCTCCCTCTATGGTCTTAAACAGGCCCCTCGCGCCTGGTTCGAGCGTTTCACCTCTGTGGTGACTGCCGCTGGTTTCTTGCCCAGTGATCATGATCCCGCGTTGTTTGTTCACACGTCTCCTCGTGGTCGGACTCTGCTCCTTCTCTATGTTGATGACATGATCATCACTGGTGACAACTCTGACTACATTGCCTTTGTTAAGGCACGCCTTCGCGACCAGTTCCTCATGTCTGATCTTGGTCCACTTTGATATTTTCTTGGGATTGAGATCTTCTCAACCTCTGATGGCTTCTACATCTCCCAGGAAAAATACATTCAGGATCTTCTTGCTCGTGCCGCTCTTGGTGACGAGCGCACTGTTGTGACTCCTATGAAGCTCAACGTTCAGCTTCGTGCCTCTGACGGTGACCCTCTTCCTAATCCCACTCGCTATCGTCGCCTCATTGGCAGCTTGTCTACCTTGCTGTTACGCGTCCCGACATCTCCTATCCTGTTCACATCCTGAGTCAGTTTGTTTAAGCACCCACCTCTGTCCACTATAGTCATCTCCTCCGTGTTCTACGATATCTTTGTGGCACAATCTCTCATCGCCTTTTCTTTGCCCGCTCCAGCTCTCTCGAGCTCCAGGCCTACTCTGATGCTACATGGGCTAGTGATCCCTCTGATCGACGCTCGTTGTCTGCTTACTGTGTCTTTCTTGGTGGCTCTCTTATTGCCTGGAAGACAAAGAAACAGACTGCCGTTTCTCGCTCGATACAGAGGCTCAGTTGCGAGCCATGGCTATGTTGACGGCTGAGGTGATCTTGTTACGGTGGTTACTTGAGGATTTTGGTGTGTCTGCTACTACCTCTACTCCCTTACTGTCAGACAGTACCGGTGCTATCAGTATTGCGCGTGACCCGGTGAAGCATGAGCTCACCAAGCACATCGGTGTGGATGCCCACTTTGTGCGTGCTGCTGTGCAGGATCAGACTCTCGCTCTTCACTATGTGCCCTCTGAGTTACAGTTGGCGGACTTTTTCACGAAGGCACAAACTCGAGTGCAGCATGGCTTTTTTCTCTCCAAACTCAGTGTTGTTGACCCACCATGAGTTTGAGGGGGGGGGGTGTTAGATGTGTATAGTCCCTTTTCTGTATATCTCCGTTGTATAAGGGGTTTTCTGCACTTTACCGCACATGTATATGTATTGGCCTTTGGCCCTGAGTGAATGCCAGTTGCTCATTATCCAACAAAGCCATCGTCTCTGTAGTCTGATCACATAAGACGCAACAGGGTGCGTGCTGCAGACCACGGCACGCCAGGCGCTCGGAGGTCCAGCAACGATCTTGGCAAGCCATCCACAAGAAGAGCTTGACCCTGTGGGGGGCCCAGCTGATAGCCCCCGGGAGAGTGTGTCGTAGCAACTCCTGAATGTATGTATACTGGCAGTCGAGGCGCCATTGGAGTATATCCAGGAAGGTGGAAAGATGCACCAAGCGCACTAGCCGCCAGAACCGGATGTATTGCCATAGGGCTTCCTGGATGTCACATAGGGCTCAAGGCGCCCCTGATGTCACATAGGAACAACCAATAGGGGATACGGATAGCTTTCTGTCACATAGGCCTTGAGCCACATACGAACAACCAATAGGGGACGCTCTTTGGGCACGCTTTGGGGCTGCACACGAACTTCGGGGATTTTGAGATGAGAGAAGTGCATATTACACCCTTCAACTCTAGCCCTAGTCTAATATACAGCCCCCAACTCCAATACCATCTACTTTACACCCCCCAACTCTCAAAACCAGGCGGAATTCAACCCTCCCCTCCCCGTTGACCGGTTTTAACCCAGTTGACCGGTTTTGACATGTTGATTGGGTGAACAGTAACAAAAAAATCAAAAAATATTTTGGTTTTTCCAATGAGTGAACAGTAAATTCAAAAAAAAGTTGGAAATAAAATTCAACAAGCAGTTTCGTTTTTTTACCTGGTGAATAGTAAATTCCAAAAATACTTTTTTCCAAAAAAACCGAATTACTTTTGCGTAGACGATTTTTCAGCGCGTGATGTCTGTGACAATTTTCAGCTTGTTTGGACATTTCAGTGGTCTCTCAACAAAAAATATATCAGCCCGAACTGTTAACTGTTTCATGCAAATATAATTCAGAAATTTTTGTTTTCTTATTTTTTTTCCTGAAATTTACTGTTCACCCAGACAAAAAATCAACATTTTAAAAAATCAAAATTATTTTATTATTATTTAATTAGAACTTTTTAAAATTTTACTGTTCAGCCGGTGAAAAAACGTAATTTTTTTAAAATATATTTCTTTTGAATTTACTGTTCACCCAGTCAACAGGTCAAAACCGGTCACCAGGGAGGGGAGGGTTGAATTCCGCCTGGTTTTGAGAGTTGGGGGGTGTAAACTAGATGGTATTGGAGTTGGGGGTTGTATATTAGACTAGGGCTAGAGTTGAGGGGTGTAATATGCACTTCTCTCTTTTGAGATCACTAAATGAATCTACAGTAGCGTGCCACACATTCATCCTGACAGAGTAGAGAATGTTGCTAGCTGGTTATGATTAATAATTCTATTTGTCCCATACAAGCAGTTAACAAGTTTCAGTGTAATACTCCCTCCGTCCCAAAATAAGTGTCTCAACTTTAATACAACTTTGTACTAAAGTTAGTACAAAATTGAGACACTTATTTTAGGACAGAGGGAGTATATGAATATGAAGTACCTACAAGTTAATGATAAGTTAGTTTCAAATGGATATTTATAGGAAATCTAATCAATTGGGTTGGAGTGTTCACTGAAATGTACAACTTGAACACATCCATTTAGTGCAAGATAAGAAAGGTTATCTCACCTAGCAGCTCCAACTTATGTTGTATCTTGTAAGTCATCCTTTTGTTTATTCCTTAGACCTGCAACAAGCTTGCATGTCTTCAAGAAAGCACCCAGTAACTGCACAAAAGGCATTAAGTATGAGTAAGACTCTTCCCATCTTTTTTTTTAGAAAATGGAAGATATATTATCTCCAGCATCTGCATCATTGATGCACAGAACAAGTATTCTTCTAACTATTAAATACTAATGATCTATCATCATAATGCACAGATATATATCGAAGCACAGAAACCAATTACTTGGAACTTTCACATATAACAGGCACAAACATGCAGGTGCCACAGGAGGTGCAAAATTCAATCACATTAGGTATCCAAAGCAAGTGATTACATTCAAAGAAACAGCTCAAGGATTAGAAATTTAAGTGTGTACAGACCAGGGTAGATGAGTAAGTTAGAATTGGCCACATGACCCACATACCCCAGGATACTGCTGAAAGACGGGAGAATAATGCTCGAGAGTCACATATATCTTTTGCGCAATACTTAGGAGTGCAGTAACCTTGTTTTCCAAAATGTCAACCTGAATCGAATGGGCAAACACTTAAAGAGGTTATAATATGAATTGAGTATACATGTGTTACTGCAGTCAAGCAGAAGCATACTCAAACAAAGAACATAAAATGTATCCCAATCAAAATTTAAAGATATCAGCAGACTCACTTGCATGCTGACAATGAAAAATGTTCTTATTTGCCAAATAATTGCATACCCTCTATAACACAGGAACATGATTATGTAACCATCTACTAGTTTTACCCTCCGATGCTCAAATAATTGAAAATAACAATAGATGAATCAAAATCAGGAACGTAGCTCCGAAAAGATTAAATTCACTTGATGCAGCTAATAAAAAAACTGGTTTATCTGACAAATGGATGAGCATAGCTTGCACTAAGTGTTTGGATAGGCTTAACTTAGGCTTATAAGCCAAAAGCACAAAACTAGGTTCTTTTTTGGCTTATAAGCCAAACTCCAAAAACCAAAGTTAAGCCCAACCAAACACCCACTAAAGCGTCTTCGCCTGTATCACGCAGCCTTTCAATCAGGATAATTCACTGTCTACTTGATTATAGCCATAAATAAGAAGTGCCCTTTTTTGCGGGGATAAGAAATGCCCTTATGAATTAGATACCTCTCAACATAAGATCAATTGGAAAGGATTGGTCCCTTGTTTAAAAACCAACATCAGATATGACCAGAAAAGAAATACCTCAGCTTCAGCTTTTCGAAGCTCGGACCGTCTTCGGTCTAGCATTTGCTTATATGAGAGGCCCTTCTTTGTTAGTACTATTGCCTGTTGAACCACATGGTTGCATTGATCCCTCAGATCATCTGATCTGAATTCAGCAATACTCGTATCAATTTGTGTGAGAATCAACAATATGGATTATATTCAGAAGATAGATGCACATACCTTTTCTCATTTCCTTTGATGTCTCCTGAAATTTTATGTTCAATCTCCACAAATTCTTTTGATAAATCCATAATAGATACCATAATGAAATCTAGTTGTATTATGTGCTCATTTTTGCCTAGAAACCCATTGTATTCCAACTTTTTTGTTTCAACTTCATGTAAGGTAGTTGAGGCAATCTCTGTAGTCTGGCTCAGTTTGACGAGCTCCTTATCCTCCATACTCTGCTCACAACTCTCGTATGATCTTGCTGATACATGAGGCTCCATCTCGATATCACGAAGTATCATTTCATCACTCTCTTGCTTGGTTAGCTCTGGATTTTCATGATTATTTTCAATGAAGTGTTCCTTTTCTAGTAACAACAACTTTTCTGTTAGCTTCTGATTTTCTTCATTAGCTAAACGCAATGCCTTCTCCCTTTCTGAGAGTTTAGCTTCAAGTGAGGACACTTCTGCTTGAGAATTCCGTGAGGCATCTTCCATGCTGGTCCTACAGTCATCAACAAAATTTCTTGTCACAGTTCGGTATACTTCATCTCTAATAGTGCTTTCAACATAGAGATCCTCATAGTCTCCTTTAATGATGCCGACTTGTCTCATAATTTGTTCTTCAAGTGACAATCGAAGTGATATTTCCCTCCTGGCATCAGATATCTGGCACGATAATTCCTTAATATCATTCATCTTTTCTGCAAGCAAACCTCTAAGGTGCTGGTTTTCAAGGTACAATGAATCAATTTTATTATCCAATCTGCAATTTTCCTCAAGTGCCTCGCTAGTGCTGCAAACTGTAGGTGCCTTTATGGTACTAGCAATGATTGTGTCAACCCTTGAAATGATGTCAGGAACTTTCTTTCTTAGATGCTCAAATTCTAGATCATGCTTAAGATCTAATGACGCCTTCTCTCGTTTGAATTTGAACAGCTCTTCCGTTTTATCTTGTAAGTACAATTCATGCAACCTCTTTAATTTACTAATCTCAGATCTGAAGTAGTTTATGATTTCTTCCCCAGTTGAACCCTTGAGATGCCGAAAGTCGGATTTTTCAGAAATTACTTCTCTGGGACTTACAGATCTCTGTGTTGCAGACTTCTTGGTTTCCACACTGGAAGATGCAGAGTGTTCCTCCCCTGTTTTATTTCTTAAGAGATTGTATTTCCATCTGTTACTCCTGTTACCCAGATTTTCATGCTTACTGCGGGGACTATGTGATTCATCTTCTGAAGGTAACAGCATATCCGAAATAGACATCAACTCTTGACGGATTGCACCGCACTGAACCACAGTTTCCTTCCGGTTCTCCCTTAGATTGTTAACAATGGAACTTTGTTCAAAAAACCTCCTCTCTAGCTCATCCTCAAGAGTTCTGATACAGTCTCCAATCATAATGCCGGTGACCTCTAATTGCAAATCATGCTCCCACTGAAGATCGTGAATTGAAGCGTTGAACAGGCTCAACATGTCCTTAATTTGCCGGAACACCAGTATCAAGAGTAGCTTAAGGTCATTGAACACCTCATCTATCTCTACTATTGGCTTTCCATGATGGCATATCACAGGGCATGAAACATCTGCATCACTGTCATGAACAAAGTTCTGGCTTCTCAAGAGCATCATATCCTCCTTGAGCCTATTAAGCTGTTGATCGACTTCCAGTTTCATCAAATCTAAGTAGTCTGTGTAGTTGATCTCTACATCTGCATCCAGAAGGTGTTGGTGTAGCCGCGACATTACAGTTGCAAACGCCTCAAAGTTGCTTCCGATATCACAGCTGCAATTGCAGGAGAACAAGGATGGCGGTGGTGGCACTGGTGAACCTTCCAAAGACGAGGGTGTGTCGAGAGAAGGCCGATTGAGCAAGGACAAACCATTGTGAGGTGTGCATCGGGATTGGCTAGTGTTGGCTGCTGGTATGGTCAGCCTAGCAAGAAATGGATCCATTCCTTGGTCAAACACCTGCAGCATTTATTTTAAAGAAAAATTACAAACAATTAGTTCTAGGATGATGTTTACGCTTTGGCAGTAGTAGAAAAATGTGCAAGCGGGGCACAGTGTTGCCTCATTGTGATGTACAATTCGCTTCTCACTTAACGGCCGGCCATTACAATGGGCAGCAAACAGCAAAAATTGTATCTACTCCAGTCCAGCCCACACCAAAAAAACCAGTTGCGGTAAAAATGCACGGAAGTCTAACAGCAGTTGGTTCTCCCTGCTCTTCTTATCCCTACCATTACCAAATACTGGTAGGAAGCCAACCAACAGCAGAGCGCACAGTTGATTCTCTCGCGCAGCTCCCTCGGCTGTCCATAGAACCATAAACAAAAACGGCTGACACGCGTTTCCAGTTACAACCAGCGGCAGCGGGTGACACTCGGTTAACAAGCAAGCTCAACCCAACCCCGAGCCGAGACGGTTGATTTACCGCCAAAATTGACAGTGCAAAAGGAAGCGGAAGCGGGAGCGCGGAGAAACACTTACGGGCTCGATCTGCGCCATGGGCAGGAGTTGCGGCTCCGGCTCCGAAAGCCGTGGCCGCCCCGAAGGGGAGGAGAGGAGCTAGGGTTGGGAGAGGTGGTTGCAGCGGGAGAAGAGGGCAAGGACAGAGAGGCGGTGGAGGAGGGAGCGGTGAAAGCGGGCTGAGGATTGGACCAGGCGGCCGATCGCTGGCTTGGCTTGGCTTGCCGCGGGGAAGACGACACACCAGACAAGTCACCACCGGGCGGGGCGGGGCGGGGCGAGGCGGACGGCGCGGGGTGGTAATAATAACCAACGGACCAGCTGCGGCACGGCCATTTTTGATCGCACGGCACGGAGAAGCTGACGTCGGGGTCCATTTCAACGCGGGGCCCATCGGACGGCGGGGTGGTTGGGAGGTGGGAGTGTGTAGCGACCGCGTAGTGTGGGACACGTGCTGTGTGGCTGGGGCCCAGCAGTCGGTGGGGGAGAGGGAGAGAGAGAGAGAGAGAGAGTGGGGTGCTGAGCTGGACTGATTATACACGTACAGTACGGGACAAGAGCGAGGGAGATGCGCATGAGTTTGAGGGTGGCCGTCGGATGTGCCCGGTGTGGCGAGCTGGTTCGCCGCTCCCATGGCTTTTTGCCCTTGGGCTTTTTCCTTGACTTTTGGTCTCTTGTCTTTGCTGCCAAATATTTGTCCCTTCATTTGCGGTTATATTATTCTTGGTTTTTTTAGGGTTATTTTACTCTTGGTTGATTCATCGTAGTATCTATTTTTAGTTAATGACTCAAGTAATCGCGTATCAATCGTTTTTCTTTTCGCATGACTAAAGTAAGGATGTCCTAATTATAGGCTCGAAGAATCGAATTTTAAAGCACGACATTAATAGGTCATTGATACTTTTTTCTAGACAAGTCAAAGGCTGACCCTCCTTTTTATGTGTGCTTTTTAATTTTCAAAAAAAAAAGCTTTAGTCCAGCTCAATATATAAAGCAATGATTATCAATAGTTGATACTCTTGAGTATATGTGTTATGTGCATATTATATATTGGGCCCGTTTTCTAGTTTCTTATATAGTTGGGGTTCATGGTCCATCTTTATACGTCATATATACATGTTTATGCATCAAGAGCAATACATCATACAATTCACATATGCTACATGATATCAGTTTTTTTTAGCTTTTCTCGCTTCCGCCGCCATCTCCCGCTCACCCAATCTCCCTGCCGCCGCCAATCAATCCACGGCAGCCTCCCGCATGACGCATGACGTGCCTCCCGTGCGCCAACCGCCCCCGCGAGCCGCGCGCTACCCCTCCCGCGAATGACCTGCCTCTCGCGCGACGCGCGACTCCCGTCTCCCGCGCGCCAACCGCCCCCGTGAGCCGCCCGCTACCCGCCACCCGCGCACCCGCCTAGCCGCTCTTGCATCACCGCACCGCGAACCCGCCTAGCCGCTGCTGCATCACCGCTCCGCGAACCCGCCTAGCCGCTGCTGCCTCACCACTGCTGCATCACTCGAGCCGTCCGAACCACATCTCCGTTGCTGCTGGCGCAAAGTCACTGCCGCTCGTCCGCCAGCCGCATCACCCGAGCTGCCCACTCCGTCCCGTCCTCGCTATGTCGTCCGTCACCTCCTCCGTGTCCACCAACTCCAACCCATTCGCCGACGCCAACCCTCCCGACGTCAATGACATCCGCAGCCTCAACATCTTCGAGCGGGTGCCGGTTCGTCTCAGGCGGACTCCTCGTACTACACGTGGAAGACCTACTTTTCCCTCGTGTTTCGGGAGTATCATCTCGTTGATCACGTGGACGGCACCGTCGACTCCAGCCTCGTCCCCAAGTTACATGACTGGTCCACCATCGACACTGATACGTCTCCAACGTATCTACTTTTTCTCACGTCTTTCCTCTTGTTTTGGACTCTAATTTATATGATTTGAATGAAACTAACCCCGGACTGACGCTGTTTTCAGCAGAACTACCATGGTGTTGTTTTTGTGCAGAAATAAAAGTTCTCGGATTGGAACGAAACTTTTTGAGGATTTTTTATACCAATAATAAGAATTTCTGGAGCCAATACCCACCGGAGAGGGGCCCTTGGGTGGGCACAACCCACCAGGGCGCGCCCCCCTCTCCTGGCGCGCCCAGGTGGGTTGTACCCACCTGGTGGCCCCGCTGACAACCCCCCTGATACTATAAAATCACATTATTTCAGAAAAAATAAGGAAAAAAGAATTATCGCGATCCACGAGACGGAGCCGCCGCCAAACCCTGTTCTTCCTCGGGAGGGCAGATCTGGAGTCCGTTTGGGGCTCTGGAGAGGGGGATCTTCGATCTTCGTCATCACGAACCTATCTCCATCGCCAATTCCATGATGCTCCCCACCGAGAGTGAGTAATTTCTTCGTAGGCTCGCTGGTCGGTGAGGAGTTGGATGAGATTCTTTATGTAATCGAGTTAGTTTTGTTAGGGCATGATCCCTAGTATCCACTATGTTCTTAGATTGATGTTGCTATGACTTTGCCATGCTTAATGCTTGTCACTTTGTGCCTGGGTGCCATGATTTCAGATCTGAACCATTTATGAATTCATCATTTGTAACACCCACAATGCGGCTATATCTCCCACGTGTCGGGGCACGACTTAGAGGCATAGCCGCATGGTAGGTTTGTCGCAAGAGGGGTAATCTTCACACAATCCCATGTACTGAATAGAAAGGGATAAAGAGTTGGCTTACAATCTCCACTTCACACAATACAAAAATATCATACATTATCCAGGATACAATCAAGGTCCAACTACGGAACCAAAATAAAGAAAGACAACCCCAAATGCTAGATCCCCGATCGTCCCAACTGGGCTCCACTACTGATCAACAAGAAACGAAACAAAACAACGATCAAGATCTTCATCGAGCTCCCACTTGAGCTGGGTTGCGTCATCTGCACTGGTATCGCCGGCACCTGCAACAGTTTGGAAGTATCTATGAGTCACGAGGACTCAGCAATCTCACACCCGCGAGATCAAGACTATTTAAGCTTATGGGTAGGAAAGGGTAGTGAGGTGGAGCTGCAGCAAGCACTAGGCATATATGGTGGCTAACTTACACAAATAAGAGCGAGAACAGAAGCAACGCAACGCAACGAGAAGCTAGAAGTGATCAAGAAGTTATCCTGAAACTACTTACGTTCAAGCATAACACAAGACCGTGTTCTCTTCCCGGACTCCGCTGAAAAGAGACCATCACGGCTACACACGCGGTTGATACATTTTAATTAAGTTAAGTGTTAAGTTATCTACAGCCGGATATTAACAATTCCCATCTGCCCATAACCACGGGTACGACTTTCGAAAGCTCAAAACCCTGCAGGGGTGTCCCAACTTAGCCCATCACAAGCTCTCATGGTCAACGAAGGATATTCCTTCTCCCAGGAAGACCCGATAAAACTTGGAATCCCGGTTACAAGACATTTCGACAATGGTAAAACAAGACCAGCAAAGCCGCCCGAATGTGCCGACAAATCCCGATAGGAGCTGCACATATCTTGTTCTCAGGGCGCACCGGATGAGCAGTTCGTACAACTAAAACCAACCCTCAAGTTTCCCCGAGGTGGCGCTGCAAGGGGCTCTAGTTTGGACCAACACTCAGAGGAGCACTGGCCCGGGGGGTTAAAATAAAGATGACCCTCGGGCTCCGGAAACCTGAGGGAAAAAGGCTTAGGTGGCAAATGGTAAAACCAAGGTTGGGCCTTGCTGGAGGAGTTTTATTCAAAGTGAACTGTCAAGGGGTTCCCATAACATCCAACCGCGTAAGGAACGCAAAATCAAGGAACATAATACCGATATGACGGAAACTAGGGCGGCAAGAGTGGAACAAAACACCAGGCATAAGGCCGAGCCTTCCACCCTTTACTAAGTATATAGATGCATTAAAGTAAATAAGATATATTGTGATATCCCAAACATATCCATGTTCCAACATGGAACAAACTTCAGCTTCACCTGCAACTAGCAACGCTACAAGAGGGGCTGAGCAAAAGCAGTAACATAGCCAAACAATGGTTTGCTAGGAAAAGTGGGTTAGAGGCTTGACATGGCAATATGGGAGGCATGATAAAGCAAGTGGTAGGTATCGCGGCATAGCAATAGATCGAGCAACTAGCAAGCAAAGATAGAAGTGATTTCGAGGGTATGATCATCTTGCCTGAAATCCCGCAAGGAAGAAGAATGAGTCCATGAAGAAGACAAACGGACGTAGTCGAATGAATCCTCACAAACGCGACGTTATCGGAACTAACCCGAAGAAGCAAAACCGAAAAGAAGCAAACAACATGGTAAACAATCATCACATAAACATGGCATGATGCACAACCAAGTATGATGCATGTCCGGTTTAATGAAGCATGGCATGGCAAAGTGCACAAGCAATCCTACAAATTAAGTGGAGCTCAATATGCAACTCCGTTTCATATTGATGAAACACCACATGACTTATTTAGTTCTCTCCCGTTTAAACTACTCAACAAAATTAAATGTTGTTTAAACATGGCAAGAGGTGGAGCATAAGTAAACTAAACATTTAGGCAAGTTTAAATGAAGCCAGAAATAACAAACAACAATTCCGATAAATCCCCATATGCATTTAGCAATTTAATGCAAACAACAATTTAAAACATTTTAAATGTTATTAGCATGATGCGGATGGCATATGCAAGTTTATGCAATTTTATGAAAATGTTGATAAGAGCATGATGAATCATTTGTCATCGTGGCGGAAATGAAAGGGGCCCCACGACAACGATTACGAAAACGGTGCCACGGCAACGTTTCGGTTCCAGTAACTCGATTGAGATGCCGGTGCAAAATAAAATGTGACGTGAGCATGTCATGCAAGATGGTGGGGTGATCCCAGATACAGGGTTCCCACATGTCGATGACAAGGCAAAAGAGGGGCAACGTGCACCGACAGTTCGGACTCGAGGCGAACAAGGGTGCATCTCATACAACATGCATTCATTCGTTCACGGGCGTCG